CACAGGTCTTCCTCAGACAGACGGCTGTTGACAGTGATTGGCCGCTATCTGGGTGGCTTTCAATTGAATAGACAGTTGACCACATTTTATGCCTCATCGGTTTGTTTGGAATGTCAGAGATCTGGAGCTCTCAATGTGTGGTCAGCGCTCACCGGGTGCCGGGAATTTAGGGTAATTTGAGAATGAGATAAGAAGCGTAGGTGTGAGTGTGTGTGAGTGGATGTTTCACTTACATGTGTTTATAATTGTAGGTGATTGAGAATATTATGTGAGACTATATCTGTGTTTGTGTACACAGTCTTGATTATAAATGCCTATGTAGAAAAAAGCTTTCATCTCAGCATGTGTGTGCGTATAAATTAGTAAATCTGTTAGTAAGAGAGTGCGTCTGTGCTGCTCAGGGTCAGACCCCATTGTAAATTAGACTCTTATCTGATGCCATCTAACAGCTTTATTGAGAAAAGGCCAATAGCAGTTCTATGAAAACGTAAAAGACAGAAATAAATGAGTGAACGTGGACCCATCAGGTCTATTTGTGAACTGTATAGCCAGTCGGTCACAGTTTTGTGCTTCCTAAAAGCTTCTTGTTGAGTAGATTATTGAGTAAGAAAGGCCTTGGAGTCTTTGCAGGCCATAGTCTGTGTCTCTGATCAGAGTTCACAAAATAGACAAAAAGAAGTTGCCATTGAATTTTCAAGCCTTTATGCCATTATGCTGAAAAATTCTGAAAACATAATTCAATGACAATGTCAAAGACAACACTTGGATTGTAAAAAATCCATGTATTAGCTTTACAAGGTCCAGGTGTTACAAGACCACCTGTATCTTCACACTGTGAGCAATATGATTGGCAAATCACCCAAAGCCCAGTCGCTTCCAATAAAGCTCCAGCTTTAGACTATGTCTAAGATATATAGATGGTCAACAAGTTTACCATTGGCTGTAAAGAGCAATTCATTCTTTTACTCCACACACTTCGAATACTACCTGGCAGTGGATCATCTGAGCTGTACATTTCTACTTCTCTGCTGGAAAGTGCTGATAAACAACCTGAAAAATAATACTTGGATAGCGGTTTTATCGATCATTGTGGTGCAGCTTGAAAGAAGTTTCATTTATTGAACATCTTTAGGGCTTTTTGCATCATCCACTGCCATCAACCAAGTCCCATGCATTGTGAAGGTTCCTGTGCAATGTAAGCAATATAACATGTCAAACTAATGGTTTTTGACATTTATCATTAACATCTGCTGAGAGAAAGGGAGAAATACTCAACATGGAGCCCATTGTGGGCCCTGTGAATGTCGGAGTTAGGACAGGATCCCCCTGAGTTCAGATGCTGCTGGTGGTGGAATAAAGCCAGCAGGAGGTTGATGGAAACTTTCAATTGAGGCTCTCCGGACATCCTGGAGGTCATGGTGGTGATGGGGAGGTGGCGTGTTATGCAATAGTAGGTCTAATCACTAATATCTGCTGCTTTATAGTGTTTGGCTGAAATTACACCCTACATACAGTACAATACCTGTGCACTTGACTCAGGGTAGCACATAGGATAGGATACCTCTGATGTACAGTAATTATTGTATCTCTTCTGCAGACTGTGCCATCCACCATCAGCTGTTTTTTCGATAGAAGCACGAGGAAAATAGAAACAGCAGCTTCCCTCAGCCACACCTTGCCCCTCCCAGCCCAAATCCCCTCTCGACCTGCTTTATTCATTAACCCGCCTTCCTCCACTCCACTCCACTCCTGCCTTTTTCAGTCAAATACATTGCTCAAAGGAAACAATCATGGGACCTACATGCCTGGCCTTGCTGACTAATATGTATCCCAGATGCAAAGAAATACTGTGTTTTCTCTTCCTACTTTCTGCCTTTTCTGAACTGTTACTGCTCTAGTTAACAGATTTGAAGGGTAGGCCATTTAAAAGAGGTAGATAAAATGAACGGAGCTGAAGAATATGATTGAATAGCAATGGGGATTTGTTAGAGATTGTGAAATGCACTGCTGTATACAACCCAGGGGCCCTGCATCCTCTTCTCTCATCCCTCAGTGTGAGCGTGTATGAAGCATGATGTAAGGCAGATTATTGAGAGGCATTACAGCTGCCAGGTACAGTGTTTCCCTCTGAGGCCACACCTGCTAAAAATGTTTGCAGTCATGGTTCTGCTAATGAGCTTTGGATTTAAACGTCCTCCAAAAAGCAAACGCCAAGACAGGCTGGAAAAGTGACAGGGAATAAGAACAGGAGCTGAATACAGCTATTGTATGAGTGTGAGTCTGCCAGACCCCGACAGTGTACAGTAACATTGAGCCCACCTGCTGTAGAGCATGACTCTGACGTGTGTGGGTTGGAGACCGGAGGAATCAGGCGCCTGGAGCCAAGGTTGCTTCAGGGTTGACCCACTTGTTAAAGGAAACAAAGACCCCAGGGTGTACTGGAGAGTCCGTCTGGCCCCACCCGACCTCTTGGTGCTATGCCTCTATAATGAGATCTATCCAGATCAGAGGCAGGTCAGGGGAGAAGGAGACGATGTCTGTAGGTTCATCCTGACGGATGGGCTGCTGAAAAGAGCCGTTCCCCTCCTTGTCTGCAGCTGTGCTGTGTTGACTGGAGGGATTGTTGTTGCCACTTACTGCATACTGCACATGCTGTTTCATGGTGTGTGAGTGTGTGTGTGTGTGTTTGTGTGTGTGTGCTTGTGAGGTTTAAACTATGAAAACAAAGACGGTTGAGTGAGCCATTCACAATTTCACTGTAATACTGTTTTGTTTTGAGAAAGATAGATGCTACTGGCAGGATGAACTAGGCCAGATAGGCATATAAATGTGTGTGTGTGTGTGTGTGTATGTGTGTGTGTGTGTGTGTGTCTCAGCTGACACTGTTCCAAAATAAGCCAAGACAAATTGCAGGTGTGGCAATTTGTTTCTTGCTGCCCTGCCTTGCACTCTGTGAAACAGCTTTACAGCATATTAGGAAAGGTGGCAGGGTGTGATTTATTAAGAGTAATGCCAGCACGCATATTACCAAGCAAATATTTGGCAATCTGTTCAGCTGACTTGTTACACGTGTGAGTGCACACATAAATCTTGTCCCAGGCTTCATAGTAGCTGTTAATTTTAATGGGGACAGATTACTGTGAGCTGGTATTTAAAACATTGAAAATTGTGTGCAATTTTCAAAACACAACACGTCAATTTTAATTTAACTTGCACAACTATCGACAGCAAATTTACTCAGCTGAAGCTAATTGCTTACTAGTGTTGATTCTGTGAGTTTCCCAAACTAAAACTCAAGTAGTGAAGCCAGGATTGTATTTGAATATTTTTGAATAATTTGAAGTATAGTATGAGTGTAATATCTTAATAAATGTAAGCTAAATTGGTCAAATTTTCTATTAAAAAAGTAATTTACTTACAGGACTTTTTTGAATAAACAAAAACCTTGCAGGCCTTTGACAAAAAGCAACTGCATTATTGTATATGATTATTTTCAGGCTGAAAACAAGATCAATTTGTATTAAATCTTAAAGTAGAAAGACCATAAATACATGGCTGGAGTTTAATTTGTTGAAAATAATCAATTTAAATTGTAATTCTAATTTTGGATAGAAACATTTTCAGCCCTACTGGCATTCATGCTAAAAAAGTCACCCACTTAATCTCACATGCAACCCTCTTTTTATCAAATTAAAGTTAATTGCAACGTTATGTTGACAAGAGTGAATGACCTACAGCAAGTAGTCGCACACTCTTTAATAACATAAATGATAGTAAATGTCATTTAGTAAGGTATACAGGCTATGCACTATCTACTAAAACATAAAACATACAGTGTATAAACATTGCACAAAAAGTTTGTAAAAGTCAAGGCTTGATTGGTTGAGTGTGACAACCGCTCTACCCGGCTAAATCTTTGCTTGGGTGCTGGATGCTTCAATGTGTCCAAACAGAGAGTAAAGATTTTAGAGAAATCTCAGTAAAGCTTGATTGGTAGTCAAAATCTCAACAGTATTTTAGCAGTTTTATTTCTTCTTTCTGTTTTGAAAGATCTTGTCAGTCTGTCTCCCTCTCCACTGCCCTGGTGTTCGGCCATCTGAAACACAGCCTTTCAGTACATACTGTAGACTTTGCTGCTGCCTGTTGTGGTCTCCGCGCGCGACTTCAAAACAGGAACGTTTTCAATTATCTCATGCTTATTCCAGGCCCGTGCTTGCAGAAGTCTCTTTGTGTAGAAACAGGTCCAGCCACAATGTCCCTGATGTGCTCGGCCTGCCTATATAATGTTATGAAAAACCAACTGTCAGAAGCGAGGATGAAGAGTGTACTCCCTACCTCAGTATATCCTGGTGAATTAGAGTTTAATGTCGTGGAAACAATGGTGGCGCAATAGGAAAACCATATGATGAGTTGGGTCTTCTTGGCTCCAGCAGTTGTGCTTCCAGCATTGCAACGTGGCTTGTAATTAAGAATTTGGGGGGGCTCAGAGAGGGCAAAGGGATCTTATTGTTTTTTGACTTGTTGTTTCTGTATCTTGAGAGTGAGCAGGAACAACAAAAATATGTTTTTCATTTGGGGTTGTTTCCACTTCAGGATGTTCATGAGACCTTGGAACCGTATTATTTTGCCCCCCTTTTTTCTGGTCTGAGTTGTTGTAGTATTAAGAAGTGTGTAACTCTGTGATTCCTATTTGTTGGCATCCCAAGAAGATGGCATACCCACCTGCCAATTATTTCCACACAATTTTAACCATAGTGGTTTTGCTTACACATTCATTTCAGCCCTGCAAGAATTTCCTTCCTCTCTTACTTTTTTTTGTCACATTGAAAATATTCCCCCAAACTTCCTCTCTGGGTTCCAATTTACTGTCAGCAGTAAGCTGCCACACTCTCCTCTCTGCCTCCACTCCCTCCCACCTCTCTCTCTCCCTCCTATTCATTTTCTCTCCTCTAAAAAAGCCCCAGTCCCCTCTACCTCCCTTAGCTGCACCTCCCCCAGCTCAATTTACAAGGGGAGCTCGTAGAGATCAGCTCTGTAGTGAGAGGTTTTTTTTTGGCATTCTCAGAGCTACAGAGGCAGGGAAGAGGCTGACAGGAGCAGCCACTGGACTCGCGTGGAAGCCTGAGTGACTGGTCGAACATTTCTGTGGCCACATGAGAGAATGCTGTCAGGACTGGCTCTTCTGCTGCTCGTCTGCCTCCACATGCGTGTGCAGGGGAAGCCACGGTCACAGGTAGGACCCACTTCACCTCTGTTGGGTCCTGGAGGAACCTGGGAGAGAGTGGGGACTCCCATTGATGTTAACACTCTGGCTGTAAGGGGTGCATTGCGCGATGCAATGCTCAGTGTAAGTTTGTTTTGGGCTCTCTGCTGTGAGGTTTGCAGTGGTTGATATGCCGCTGCATGTGTGTCGCTAAGAGAATTCTGTACATTTATTGGACTTGATTACTGATTGAAGTAAATCAGATTAAGACATCCATATTCTCAGATGTAGACACAAGTGCTTGTAGACAGCACTGGACAATGTCACTCCATAACCTGGACTGTCAGTGTGGCCTTACGATCTGTGGTCCATCTACTCAGTGGAAGTATTTACAGTATGGCTGTTTTCACTGTGGCTCTGCTTGCTCTCTGAGCGGTTTATTTTTCCACAGCACATTCACAGGCTACTTGTGGGATTAGATTTCCCTCCTAGTGGAAGAGTCAGTGAGTCAGGCCTGTCCTGAGACTATAAAGATGTACTTGGAACTCTATTAGGGACAGACTACAAGCCTGAATTAGCCTGTCGCTGCCTGTGGCTCAGCCCTGCTAGTTTTAGCTCACCTGTGTTTGCTGATGATTAATGAGGCTGGTGTGAGGTGCCTGAGGTTGTTAATGCAAACTTGTGAAGTGCCAAGGTCTCAATGAGGATGTCTGTGCCAGTTTTATATGACTCTAAACTACATAGCTATACATTTTATGTAAATGTTGGATTCTGTCGGTGCACAAATTGTGGGATGAATTACTCCTGACATATTTTGTGAGAGCAACTGCGTGGATCAGATTGAAAAAGAGTGGTTGTGTCTTTGGGGAAATCCGAGGTGTTCGTGGGCATTTGATAGATAGTTAATGCTACTGTAACATCAGAAGTAGTAGACATTCATTCTACACTAAGAATAACCTAGTATCCCTCATCCTACTCTGTGATGTCCAACCTCACTGCCAGCCTCACCAAGCTGACATCAACTTGTGTAAGAAGGACTGTGTTACTGCAGATTTTGTTTTTTGTGTATTTTCTATGAAGATGTATGGGCTGTTTTTCTTTAGAGATCCGTCAGGTATTTTTGTTTTGACTTGCCTGCCACTTCCACATTATATGATGTGCCCCAGACCCCACTGCTCGTTGCTGCTGTCATCGTCACCG